AAGAAAAACTCTCTACAACAAGTAACGTGAAAACGAAGACAGCCTAATGACCTTAATTATTCAATTGTGATTATGAATAATGATAAACCATTCCAACTGCACAGACGGTGCAAATACCATCAAGTATTTATTCCAAACCTTATAAGAGCCGTGAAATATCATTTATTCAGCATCATTTGCTTCAAGCAAACGCGCACATACATTGGCCTATTTGTACGTTTAGGTCACCGTCACTGAGTTATATTTATATAAAGTACCATGAGTTGCACGGAAGAAGATTCAGTTCAGTTCTCTGTGAGTTCAGACATTCAGGGGCATCATTGGATCATCGAATCAAATCAAATTAGACGAAATGTTTAAAGATGCTCAGAGGAACAGTGGATAACTGCGTAACAGGGTAGTTGGGTATGAATCCGTGCAGCGAGACAGGAGGCATGAAGTTTGGAGGCAGAGGTGCGACGAGGGCGCAGCGTCCCGGGTGGAGATGTTCAAAGGTTGAAGATGAGGACAAACTCTTGGAGAGAAGCGAGGAGAGCTCAGGTATAATCCGGCTCACAGGTGGGAGGCTCGGACTAGTGAGGGGACTTAAACCTATGTCCAGATCAAGACCCTGGAGACAAGAACCCATCCTGTGCGCTCCGAGTAGAGGAAACACGGACATGCGGCTGATACGCTCTGGGGCCTCGGACTCCTTCACCGTTTCCAAATGGAAGTGTCGTCTCTTGAAGCGTTTCCTTCGCCGAAGAAAACTCCCATTCTCAAACATATCTGAGGACATGGGATCCAGGGTCCAGTAGTTTCCCTTCCCGGGATTCCCAGGCTCCCTGGGCATTTTCACGAAGCAGTCGTTCAGAGACAAGTTGTGTCGGATGGAGTTCTGCCACGCGGGGAACTTTTCCCGATAATAAGCGAAGCGCTGGCTGATAAAATCGCATATCTCGCTGAGGGTCAGCCTCTTCTCTGGGCTCTGCAGGATGGCCATGGTGATGAGAGCGATGTACGAGTAGGGGGGCTTTACCGAAGACCCGCCCCAGCCGGCACCGCGCTGCAGACGCACAGAGAAGCCTCCATCCGCCCGCAGCCGAGGAGTAGGGGGGGACGCGCTCTGCTCCAAGTCTGCATTCGTGTTACTGAACAGTGACACACATGTGTTCCTCACATCTCCGTTATCTGTCTGTCCCTCCGCATCAATGTCCGTCTGCAGCTCCATACAGTCCAAGGTCATGGTCCCCAGAGTGTCCGGTGGCTGAGCGCCTGTCTTGGACGGAGCAGGCGTGAACCCCCTTCTCCCCTTTCATTCACTAGAAGTTACGCATCTGACTGAATCCTCCACTTTTCAGCCCCCTCTGCAAAGTTCCTCCTCCTGAACACAGCAAAGAGCTGAGACATGAAGCTTCACATGATTAATGATCCTTTAGCATGAACTGATGATTGGTAATCCTACTCAATAATAAATATGTTGTTCATTTAGTCTTATACTTTCCTGAACTTCATACTCCCAATGCATATTGATTAGTAAGTCTTATTTAAAATACATTTTAAGTCAAATCACAAAAGCATGTTAATCAGAGGACGCTCAATGGAGTTTGGTTCTAATAAGAAATTAAATTGTTGACTAATTGCAGCTTAAGCTATATGAGGAATTAATCATAAAAGCTTAACAATAATTTTACATTAAAAAAATACCTTAATCCACAAAGTAATAGTCGTTGAGTTCTGTCATTTTGCACATGGTGTCCTCTTACACATTATAGTTATAACGCATACCAATTATATCATATTATAGTATTCCACATGTGTGCCTTAGTGTGAAATTCATTCATTCTACACATGCATATATATGGATCTATTTCAATATCCATTCCAATATGTTAGCATCTGTAGTGAAAGGTGTATATTATTATTCTTTGCATTTTGAACAATTTTTCATTTATATTATATTGCCTTTTTTAATGTCATGTCTACTTCTGTTGTAACAAGTGAATACCCCCATTTTATCTTTTCTAATATTTGCCTGTGGAATGACGTACTAAACTGAAGTTGAAGGTTCTCAGTTACTTCCCGTCACATGTTTATTATCGTATCGTGTCCACAGCAGGTGAAACTGGTTTGGGCTGAAATCTGGTTGATGATTAATTTTATAGAGCTTAATCTTTTTATGTGGTTGGCTTACACAATGCTCATTTCCTTCAGTTCCTCTTCACTTGACGTTTTGGCTCATGGTGAGAGACTCTGGCTGTTTCAAATCAGAAGACGTAATCCATTTTGAAATAATAGCTGCACTGTATCAATCTGTGCAAGGCCACCCACTTGGCACACAGGTCACCACTGCAGGGTGGGCTAAGGAAACTGTGGGAAGCCTCATTAATGAACAATTCTTCCCCCTCACATGCAGTTTAATGTGATGTGTTATGTGTAGGGCAACCCTCTAAAACTATTGTACTATTTTATAATTGCATTTTTGTGTGGGTATAATATTTAGATCAAGACAGGGCCACGCTCATGCAGCTACACACATGAAAGAGCCGAGAAAGTGTTTTATACAGACTTTAATACAGACCGAAACCCATGCAAGCTCACACAAAGAGGGTTTCTTTCCTCACAGGAAAAAAATGCACCAACGATACCAGCTACACTCCAAATAAACACCAAGATAAACAAACCGTGCAAAAAATAAGTTGGAAATTAGGACAAACACAACAAAATAAATAATTTAACTTGTGCAACTAAATACATGTGGCCAAGAAAGTTAATTCTTTTGCAGTTAATAACAGTGAAGACAACACTGAGCTCAGGATGCCGTTTTTTGTTCCTGCACAGAGATAACTTTGTAGTGCAGCTGTTGTTGGAGACCACCGACCATTATACACAGGCAACACTGAAGCTATTTAGATGAAAACTGACAACAATTATGAATAAACTCTCCACTGAATGTGTGTAGTTCTTACAGTAGCACTGCAGCATCCCGTTTATTTGTGTTAAATGACTCTCTGCTACAAACTGTCTGTGCTCTGTGCTCAGCAGACAGAGGGAAGACAAACCAATCATCTGAATACACTTTGTCACACATGCTACATACATAAGTTTCAGTGCAGGAAAGATAGAGGTGCAGACCATTGTCTGACAGCGTCCCCTGTTAAGTGTTGAGCACAGAGTTTCAGAAGGTTTTAAAGTTTTTTTAGTCCTTTAAGTTAATTTTTGTAAGTTTTCTTGTGATGTATGCAGCACTTTGATGGCAACCATGGAGCTAAAGTCAATGAGGTCTGTTGTCCGAGGTGCAAAACTGAGGCAGTGAAACTAATTTAAATACCCTGAGTCACGTAAAATACAAAAGGCTGGTGTTGGTTCTTTCTTTTTGGCGTTTACATCTGTAGTGAATTGTCGAGGACAAAGAACAACAGCAACAGAGAGGGTTCAGTCTTGAGCTGGTGTGTGCACAGCTCCGTCACATGTGAACATAAAAAGCCTTTTCTCTGTGTATGTTCCCTAGGTGGTGTGTTTCCGTTGAGCTGAGGTCAGCCTCACCAAGTTTCCACACCTGAGGCAGCATGAGTTGGAGTTGCCCTCTTTCCTCGGGATATGCCAGCAGTTGACACAGCGCACTCTGTACTTCTTATACCTTGTAAAGAGAAACACGGGAGATGAGAGTGATTCCATGAATGTTCTTTGATGAAACACACGCTGGTGTTAAAATCACATTTATTACCAACTTTCTGTTCTTCTAGCAACTCATGTAGACATCATAAACTAAATCATGTCACTGTGGAAGAAACTTATGTGACATCGTTGTGTGCATCTGAGCTACCTTATCCCACAGGCATTACAGAGTGGGGTCCCATCCTCTGCATCTCTCCACATGGGCGTCTTCCTGGTGCAGCACGATGCACAGACTTTATCCTCTGAGGGGGCCGAGAGAAACAAATATATTGCCACATGTTATGTGTCCACTTTGGTTTTCTTTCTCTGTATTTGCTACTTGGCATTAAGGGCAGTTGTCATGATAAACATCATGGTGTTAGAATGTAGTTTCACTGTGTAAATCCTGTCCTAAGCAAATGATGCTGTTGACTTACATCTTTTAATAAAGTGGCACCCTCTAGTGGAGAAAATTGGCACTTTACAGCGATACATAATCACATTTACAATAGATATTTGTCCCTGTTCTCCCTTTACATGTATACAAACTGTATTCAGAGACAAACCTGTGATGAATGAGATACTTGTAGGACTCAACATTACTCTTTGGAGCAGGTGTAGTAAGGTAAGCATAGCTTCATTGTAGAGTGCAGGTACTCGAGTGTTACTCACTGGAAACCGTCAGGTCACTCTCCTCGTCTGAGCTGCTAGTTTTGAGGGATTTCTGGGATGTCCGTGTCCTCGGCCTTGGCTTTCTTACACACTTGAAGAGCTCCTTGCTGTGAAGGGTACACGTGCAGCAGACACCGGCAATGTGTGCAGATTGAATACTTCTAAACTCACACACACCAAAAAATTGTAGTAAATCTGTTAGTACCTGTACTTTGAAGTTATGAGGAGCCGACACTGCTCCCTGCTGTCGTCCAGCTCTGAGCCCATCCTGAAAGTCACTCCCTGGATGTCTGGGTCTTGGATGTCAACACTCCGGCTGGGATGAGGTTGTTTTCTAGGAGTCTTGGTTCTCCACTGCCAGGAAGATGGAGGAGCAATTTCCTGCTTTTGCACAGGCCTGAGTTCTGGTTGTAACTTTACAGAAAGCACATTGTAGCTGGAGGATTTCAGTTGTTCAAATGTGGGTGATTCCTCCTTTATGGCAGCAGGTATAGATGGATTCGCTCCTGTGGGTTTGTTATCAGTTTTTAGGAATGAATGACACCTCTCTGCAGCACTCAAGTAGAGCAATGCAGATTGTGAAGAAGCCAGGAGAGCGCTCAGAGGCGACAGCTGGGTGTCACATGGGGTCAACACAATGTTTGCGTTGTAGTCTACTGTCAGTGCTGGCTTTGGTAGATCTACACCTGTATCTTCATTTGAATTCAAAGTCATCTGGGTATTAATGGGTGGACTGTGCATGTGTGCTTGTGACAGAGCCTTTTCAGAGAAGGGTACATTCCAAAAATCCATCTTACACTCCTGGCTCAACTCTAATTGTGCGTTAACATTAAACATGGCCTCCCTTTTGTCCCCAGGCTGCGGTTGAGAGGAGGTGGTGGCATTATCTTTCATCAGCTCTGGTAAAACAGTGTCTGTTATTTCAGCAGGCTGAGGTTGAAGACTACAACCCACCTGAGAGTATTTATAAATGCTGACTCCTTTCACATCTTCCCCATCACGGACAGAGGCTGGGATTTCTTGTCTCTTGATAAGAAAAGTGTCACTTCCAACCCCCTGTTCTGTAACATCTGCTGCAGCAGTTGACAACCTGGCTGTTTTAAGGACTGATTTTGCCTTGGATGATACTGAACTTGTGCGCGGCTCCTCTACATCTCTCCGATGCAGGATCCTCTCACACTGCAGGTTGATCAGACTCAGCACTTTCAAGGGGCTGGTACCTTCCTGATGCGGCTCAATCAAACTCATCACCGTGCTGTTGTGACTTTCCTCCTCCACTTTGTTCACCTGATTAAAAGGCGAGACACTGTGCTGAGAGAAACTATCATACCTTTGAAAGAAATGCTCATCCTCTACCTCCGTTTCAACGATGACATCCCCCGGTGTGGACGCCTCGTCGAGCCATTTGCAAGGCGAGTTTGTACCCAGGAAACTGCTGTGGCTGGGAGACGCCAGCCTGGAAACTTCTTGGAGGAGGTAGAAGAGCGCAGAGTGGGACGCATCGTGCTCCACCGTCCTCTGGTGTCCTTGAATAAAAGTGGCTTGTGACGTCGGTCCTGTGCTCATGTTGAGGTGTCTGCATCCGAAATGAACAGGGGGAAAAAAACAGCCTTCAGACAAAGTTTCTAAGACAATAATAAAACAAAGACTTCTCTCTAATAGTTATCTTTCCTTGTATAACCCCTGATGTTTTTTGCTCTTAAAGCTGTTAAATATGTGTCACATGAACGTATATTTTACAAAACACAGTGATGGTGGCTGGAGAAGTTTCTAGGAGTAAATAAGATGTCAAGGATTTAGAGAATAGCTACTTCACCATTTGTGCTGTATAAACAAACAGCTGCTGTAACTGAGCTCCTGTAGAAGCTAGCGCTGCCACACTTGTATGTTTTAATGTTGACATTAGCTCGACCGTTTGTGATAGGTTGTTTTTTAATACACACCATCTTTGTGGCCTATATACACGAACATCCGGGTTATTGTTAATAGTTAGTCACTGCTGTTCAGAAGATTATTCAAATAAAGCTGCACATTCTCCGTGTGGTGGTTCTTCTATTCACGTGGAGCTGGTTGAACTCACCGGTCACAGTGGAACTTCCACAGTGGAGGAACACAGTGGATTCCACAGTGGAGCTCTGAGGGTCTGCTCGGACTCTGAAGCAGCTCATGTTCGACGATGTCGCAGATTTTCGCGGGTGTCAACTTTTCAAACTGTCGCGAGCGCACGAGCTGACGGCAGTGATTGATCCAGTGGTTTTTAGAAGCGCTTATAGAAAGGTGTGTTAAAAAGCGACTGTAGTGTTGAAATCGTTCTCCTGCAACAACATATCATGGACTGACAATGTCTGGAACCACCGCTTATGTTCACTTTGGCTTCATTTAATGGATCGGTGAATGTTTGAGATCAGATTTCATTGATGGACATTATAAAAGCGTAAATCCAACGATCGCAAACTTTGATCCACAACCTGTGATCGTCCATCACTCACACAATAAATGGGCCCATCACATCAACCTCACTGATCCTTCTTCTCACCGTTACTCTTTCCTGACCTGTCACAGCTTCTTTAGCGAACCACCTCTCTGGCATTAAGGCCTCCTACAAAAACATGTTTTCAACATCCACCCATCGCTGCACGTGTTGATTCTCACCATTAATCGTCAGGGTCGGTCATCAGCTAATAGAGAAGAGTTGAGCCCACACCGGTGGAGCTGGTGGCCATGGCCCGCTCCTGTGTGCTCAGCTGAATACACGGGTGTTCCTGGTTTACACAGATTACACCTGCAGGGTTTAAAGTGTGGCTCCTCACCGAACTGCAGTTTCACCTGGAAGCTGCTGCAGCAGACAGCTCTCTGCAACAACACACGAGGCCTTTGTAGGTACTTGTATCTGCAAGGAACTAGTGTTGAATATTTAGGTTTGGATATATCACTTCACTTCTGCCATTCTTCTCTAAAGGGGTAAAGGGAGAAGTGTACAAAAAATAATTTTCAAAACATTTTATTGCACAACTTTAAATGTTTCCTAAGACATAATAGAGACAGTTCACTGACATGTGTGTAAGCTGGATAAGTACAGTAGAGTTAACAAGTAAAGGAGGGATGAGGTAAACTCATTTTGTGTTGACGAGCTTCAAACCAGGATCACAGCAAACCTGAACCACATCAACTCATCAAGCCACAATCACTGTCACCTGACAGGAAGTGCTTCAACATGCATATTTCATCTGACCTTCAGAAACACAACTCATTTATTTAATTATTACGTGTTTATAGTGAATAAAATGAGTTTCAACAGTCTCGTTTGTGTATTTAAGAGTCCACCCTTTAAGCTTCAGGGAACTTTGGGCTTCCAGATACACTTCATTATAATACACATCTGTTTCCTCTGTATCTGGCTTTAGTCCTTGATGAGAAAAACAAAAACACCTACAAAAGAACCAGACTCATAAAAATGAAATGCTATGTATACAATATCTGACAAATGGATCAGTGTGGAAATGATAAACTGAGAACATCATGTGATACTTGTGCGTATATGAGCTGTAACAAGGAATGTTCCATTTGACAGCACAAAGATGGACTTTGTTAAAAATAGCATAATGACATAACTATAAAATGTCAAAAAATCCTCTCAAAGAACAGTTTAGATTGAATTGTGTGTTCAGGCCTGAGAATTCTCCACATAAAATAAATACATTATCAGTCAAACCATCCCAGTTGTTTTTGGAACAAACCATTAGTTTTACCCTCTGTGAGACTCAGTATCAGACTCTGTGGTCTCATCTGCAGGCCTGTCAAGTCATTGGTCAACTGTGGAATTTGTCAGTCAGCAAGATGTTTGGGGAGTTGCTACGGACGTTACTATCTTAGCCGTGCGTCGCCCCCCTCTTTCAACCAGCACACCTGGTGGCTAGCTCACAGCGATACTAATTTCTGTCCCAGTCCCCCGTCTTCATCTATTGTGCCTCATCTCAGTGAGGTTTGGGAACATGGCCGTCCACATAGAAGTTCCTGGTGACTTTGGGCAAGGTCAACTCGATGCCATCCATCTCTGGAGTGAGAATTATCTGGCATCCCAGCCGGGAGTTCTCCTGGAGCATGGGCGCCATATCCAGCATGTCATCCTCCCTGACAACCAACATAAATTAAACCAGTCAATATTAACAGTGATCTTACTCTAATCTTATCACACACATTAGTTGGAATGTAAATGTCACAGTTTAAGAGGAAGATTAGTATTAGGCCTTGTTTACACTGAGGCAGATATATCAGAAAGAATATTTTCCCACTCAAATATCTTTGTCCACACGAAAACACAAAAACCACAACAAATAAACAAGCAAAACTGGGCCAGTAGGTTGCAATAAAGTCAACTTCAACGATCCTTCCAGAGAACATTGTGAGAATTCTGAGTGAGCTTCTCTCCCTCTAGTGGAAGTAACTTCAAAATCAAAATAGTAGAAGTTTAGTTTTTTGTTTACACAGAAACCAGAGATTTTGGAAATCTGCACTTTGTAACCCATTTGTAAAAATCTGCATTGTAATGTCTTAAAACTTAGTTTTTAATGTGGACTAGAGACACAAACAGAGGGGAAAGTTCTGAAAAATATCTGCATTAGTGTGAGACTTACCGCTCATCAGGCTCTGGCAGTTTGTCAAAATGGTCCGCGTTCACATAGACGTGACACGTTGAGCAGGCTAACGATGCCTCGCAGGCTCCTAAATAAAACAGTAACACCAATAATTAAAATGGTCCTCAGTTTTAGTGGAAAATAGAAACAAAAAAAAGGAGGTGGTCTGATGACCTTAATTATTAATTGATCATATTCCTAAACACTGGAAAAATCTAAAAGATCTACGCATTCTCAATATTCCTGGAAAAATTTAAGAAAAAAGAAAATTGCCAGATTTTGCAATTTTAAAGAAAATGATCAAATAAAAATAAAATATAAAAACACATATGTGTGTGTGTGTATATATATATATATATATATATATATACACACACATGAATAAAAACAAATCTGGATCCCAACGTAATCCACATCTACACAAACATTTCAGTCCCTATCCCTCAACCAAGTTTAGTGGAAATAGGTTTCGTAGTTTTTCCATGATCCTGCTAACAAATAAACAAACATGGGTGAAAACATCGCCTCCTTGCCGGAGTAAATAAGCAGCAGTTGTCTTAAAACCTTGATTAAATATTTAAGAGAAAACTTTAAACACTCACCTTCCAGTTCAATTCCATGCTTGTGAGCCAAATACAGAACATTATCTCCCACTTTGGCTCGAACTGGGATCTTCTGTCCAGATCGATTTATATACACCACATTCACCCTAAACAACAAAGATGAGAGCAGGAATTACGAAACATTTTTGTGCCTGTAACCCAATTAGATCAAGATCAAAGATGAGGTTTAAAAATAATAAGACCTTTTTTTTGCCAATCAGACATTTGAGTTTGATAAAATATAAAGACATATATATATATATATATCTCAGAGTGGGTTTTCTCTGGATTCCTCCCACAGTCCGAACACAAGCAGATTGGGGTTAGGCACATTGTAGGTGTGAATGGTTGTTTGTCTCTATGTGTGGGTCCTGTCATGGACTGGCGACCTGTCCAGGGTGCACCCACCTCCAGCTGGGATCGCCCTCACCTTGACCCTCAAAGGATCAGCGATACAGATAACATGTTACGGTTAGGATGGGAAGAAATGCAAATATTTAACTGACCTTCAATGAAAACCACATGTAGCCTTCACTAGCTTGAACCTTAGAGCTAGAGAGTGACAGAGAAGTCGTTGTAGTGGTACAGAGGCGGCATGTGTGCGTTGATTTACAACAAACTTACACATCCTCTGGGTCCTCAGCATTGGAGCCGCCCTCCTCACTGTGGTGGAGACCTTTGGAAAGACAAACACGGACACAGGGACAGAGACGGTGAGATCAGCTCCTCCTGGTTGTTGAAGGGAGGGTCGAGGTTTGACTGGTTGCACAAAGTTTCACTGCCTGAGTGACTGCTGGGAGAGTTATTGAGAGGACATTTTTAAATCACTGCTCTTCTCCATCTAACACATGAAAACCAAACACTACTGGTCACTGGTTAAAACACTGCTAGTCAGCGCTCATTGAAACCTACGGTACACAAACACTTCTGAGGACATGGGCACTCTCTAGTTGAGGCTAAGCTGTTAGCAAACTGCAGCTCTCACCCATGCTCGTCTGTAAATGTCGGTTTATCGTCCTGCAGCTGTGGAGAGAGCCGCTCCTCTGTGGGTCAGCCCCGCCGGTCACCCCGCTCCTCAGCCGGTACAGCGGACATGTGCTACAGTCCGGTCTGACTCGAGAAAGTCTCAAAGTCAGACCCACGCTCGACCGGACTGCAGCTGCGGCCGCCATGTTTCTGTTGTGGTCACGAGGTCCACAGCAGCCAATGAGAAAACAGCGCAGGCAGCGCGCGGTTTCCGGGCGTTTGTGCAAAGCCGACAGCAGAGGGCGCTGTCGGTGTATACACACAGTGCACTGGGAATCAACGAGCAAGATGTCTATCAGCGTTAATAAAAAGATAATATAAGTGAACAAGCAAAAACTATTTTTTCTAAAAGCGATCAATAAGAAAAAGCAATAAAATCAGACAGTAATAATAATATGATT